TGCGTCGCCGTCAGCAGGTACTCGTGCCTTCAAACATCTTTGACCCAACAAACGCATCCCGCGCCGGATCCACCGACTCTACCCCGCGGAGGTCTCCGGAAGTGCGGGCGAGTGGCGGGCTGCATGCCAGGGTCGACAGTCCGTCACAAGCCATGTACTGAGTGATACGGACGAAGGGCCTCGGAGCTCCAGACCAAGACAGCCTGTCGTCGCGGCTACGCGGTCGCAGGGCGACCCACTGCACCTCTTCGCCTGCTGGCTCCTGCACACATGGATCGCCAGGCTGTTCCATGGCAACCCTGCGCTGCCGTCCCTTTTGCTCCTCCCAGGGGCGATCGGACCTGGGCTGAAGAAGCGGAAAACAACAGCGACGCTTTCTCCCTGGCACTCCTCAGGGGCCCGAGCTCCTCGGCCAGGCGCTCGGGCCAGGGTAGACGGACCTCGAAGCGGCGGAGGGCTCGTGGCGACGCTGGCATCCCGGAAGTTGGGTCCCCTGCAGCTGCAAGCATCAGTGCCTGCAAACCGCCCACGAAGGCGCGAATCCGTGATGGTACCCTGGTACACCACATCGAGACACATTCCGGGAGGTTCCACCTTGGAGCTCCCCAGGACTATGCGCTGCAGGACCGCGTTCTTGCTGATCCGGGCAGCACCAGAGGGCCTGTGGGGAACACTTTCTTGAGACACCATCTCACAACGGAAACTCATCAGGCCAAGGCGCCACGAAAAAGATCTGATGTCAGGAGATCTGCGATGGGTAACAACCAGATCATAGAGGTGAGGGACCTGCCACAGGCTCATGTCGTGGCCATCATAAAAAAATGCCGAAGTCCGAGTGCACGGGACCTTTGTCTTTTCGGTCGTCGGCTTTGCGCGAGTTAAGCGGCTCATCCCATGCGGGAGGTTGGAACGAGCCCTTGCGTTAACTGTTAATGCTCTTGGTCCGAACCACCACGAAGCACTTAGGATTCGTGATGGTTCCTGAATCACACAAGGGTGACTTCTAGACCCCTCAAGCAACTAAGCACGAGTATGTACAACCCTCTTGTGCCGCGATTCTTTGACACATTTTGAAGCGGCGGGAAATCACTGCACGCTGCAGTCTTTCCTGGCAAGCTCGAGCTTGGGAGATGCGAGCAGTTCGGCAATCCCGCACCACCATTGCAGCAAAGCTAAACTACACACCTATCGGCAAACTCCAGGGACAGCACAACCGTGTCTGTCGCTTGATGACTTTATGCCAAGCAGCTTCTGATCTGCAGGCTGCGCAGCCACCTAGCGGTCCACGGTGGGTTTTTTGCACTTACACTTGGTCATCCGGTCCGGAGGTCGCCGGGAATCGGGCAGTGGCACGAATGGGATTGTCCCGAGAGCCAGCTGCAGCAGAGAGCCCCACGTCTGCGGTGGACCTGCAAATGCGACGTTGGCGCACAATGAAATCGCAAAACGACACCATCGGCACTGGCTGCACGAACATCCAAGATAGTGGCTGCATTGTGATCATCTGCACTTGCCGGGCCGTGGAACCAACCAACGGGTCCATGTCCTTGGCTGTAGAAGACGGGTGTTCACGATTCAAGGAGTTTTTATTGCTGCAAAGTTGCCCTCAGAGAATCTTTCCATGTGCGCCCCTTGCAGAAAGTGCCAATGGCCTTCCGATGTCGCGCAGAGTCAGAAATGCCAGGCCAAACCCTGAAGAACCCTCCACGGAGCATATGACAAGCATGCACAACTGCGAGGAACGCTGGCCTGGAAACCCCAGCGACTGGGGCCTGGCTCGCGCATGAGCCGGGCAATGAGGAGCCCGGTTTCACCTCGTGCCTCGTGAAAGGTAGGGGCTTGACGGTTCCCGCAAGCTCATGAGCCAATGCCTTGCATGCCCTGATATGCCCTGCTTCCTGCCTCGCGGAGGACATACCGAGCAAGCTCTGTGCCATCCTGCATTGAAGGTGAGCCAGTAAAGCTCTCCCAGCCAGGGCTTTTGACAAGGCTTTATGCAAAGTTGCTTCTTTAACCCGCTGCAATGCAGGTATTCTAGCTCTGGTCAGGGTCCTGGCTGCACATGCGGCAATAAGCGTTGGAGACGCGATCAAAAGTGATGTTCGGCGTATAAATGTTCACCGAGAACACCATCCTGATCGGATTGGCTGCAAGACTCTTCACGCTGCAATGTTCGTCTGCTGTTGCTTTCACAGGGACTTCCGAAAAACATCTCACAAAGCAGAGCAAGCTTGCAGATGAAGAAAGTTGCAAATGAGTTGCTGCGTGACTGAATCTGGAATGGCCGACAAGTTCACGGTGATGACCTCGTCATCCCCACTCCCTTCGCCTGTCGGAAACGGACTCATCCCGACGCATGCAAGTGAGTCTGCAGCAAAGCACCTGTGAGGTTGTCCCCACTGTGTACGACACCAAATTCTTCCTGGCCGCTCCACAGTTCGGTCAAAGTTTCTGGGATCTGTACTTGGACCACCCCGCTTTCCCAAACACCTGGTTTCCGAAGAACACGGCTCCCAGGTGCCGCCCGTCTGCAGCGAAGAACACCACCGAAACGTCCTACAGCTCGGCCGAGCATGAGGAACGCAGCCCTCCACCCTTGCACAGCGCCTGCAACCGAGGGACCAAGTCCACATCCGGCCCAGGTCCTGCTTTAACGTCCCAGCCCAGACCGGCAGTGACCTTGCCCAGCTCCGAGGTCTGCCTCAGACTGAAACCAGGCTGGGGCCCGGCTCGCGACCTGCCTAAAACCTCCGACCAAATGCTTCCACAAGCGGCGGGAGCTCCACCATGGACCCCTTTTCCATCGCGAAGGCCACCTGGTGGCGGTGCGGCGCTCATGGACAGCAACAGTGAAAGTATACGTTACTGCTTCGAATGCGGCGGCCACAACAATGCCCACCCCGGGGCGCCTTCTGGCGCTTCGGTGCTCCCGGGATCTCTGCACGGATCAGGTTCCCCAAAGTTGGCTCGAGGATATCCATGAAGTGGCGCCCTGCAAGGCTAGGGAAGGCAAGAGCGAAAAGCATCCGACTTGGCGTACGTAGAATTTTGGGGAGGCCTGGCTGAGCAGGCTCGTCTAGCACGCGCAGGCTCCAGTCCCCAGCATCGGACCGGGCCATTACGAAGACCTCATATGCTTCATATGCTTCAGAGCTTTCTCCATGCCTGGAAAGGTTGAGCGGCATGGACTCCGGCGTCTTCTATTGAGCTCCAGGCTGCATCAACTTCTTTCGCGCTCTGCTCCATTCGATAGCTCCTGGGTTGTGCAGCCCAGGTTCATCACTGCCAACTGCGACCGTAAGCTTCGCCCGGCATTTTGAAGGACAAGCTACGCAACTTCATTTCCAGGATCATCCTCGAGTAAATGAAGGACACCGTTGGAAACATCCTTGAGCTGACCACCTGAGACTCGCGAGAAGCGCAGCCAGTTGATTGAGGATGACCCCCTCTTCTTGGCTCAGCTACGGTTGTGCGCAGCCACGACAAAGATCACGAGCCTCACCTGGCCAAAGCTCGCAGAGATGCGCGGAGGCGCAGTCGAGACATGCCGAGCCTGTGGAGGGACTCTTGGCAGCCTCGGATCGTCCCCCACATGTCCCCCCCGACCCCCTGTCCCGGAAACGTGTCGACGGCCAGGACTCTGCTCTTGCCTCCAGGGGGCATGACCCACACGGTTTCATCCATACCAGTCTTCTCCCCGGTCTGTTCATCTCCGGAGTGCGTCACGCACCTGACCGTCATCAAAGGTCGCGACAGTTCCGGTACAGACTGGTTCCAGATGCACCTGAGAGCCTTCATGTTGTTGTAGTATGCCGCATCTATGATGACCTTGCCGCCACAAGCGTCTCAAGGCAAAAACCTCGATAGTGTCCTGAGACTCCAACGCCTTTCTGGTCCACGATGACAGCTTGCAGATCCACGTCTACAGCATGCATGCCCTGACAGTGTGCAGGAATTTGTCGCCCCTGCGCACACATCCCAACCAGCAAAAGACCGCTCCTTGTCCCAGGACACCGCGACGCCAAACCTTAGATGTCGAAATCAAGGAAGCCAAGCAATGCAGAACCACGGTCGAGGCATGAAAAAGAAGATAAACGGACGGCGAGATGCTTGGCAACATTGGGATTCACAGGGATCTCGGCCCCGCGACTCAGCGCCATGGCAGCTCTTTTGGGAGAAATTACCGTCGCATCCTTGCTGGAGTCTTCTGGCAAACGCAGGTGTTGGGGTGTGGCACAAACCAGGCACCACGTCTCTCTAGTCTTCTCTAGCCAGATCTGTCAACTAGTAACTAGGATCGGGAACGGATTTGCAACCCCCATCGTCTGCAACACTACAGGCTTTCGTTGGCCGAAGAGCCATCGTCTCAAGCAGGTCTCGTCGCATCAGGGGTGCCATCATGCATCCGCTACAGTCTACCAGGAAAGAAACGGGGACAGGCCTGAGCCTGCCAGAGCTTCTTCCGGGTGGGCAGATCGGGCAGGCCCAGGCCACACTGAGCCAGAGACAGCACTCTCAGCCACTCGGAGCCGGAAGTATGAGGCAGGATCCTCCTGCTTCCTCTTCAAGGGGTTGGAGGCCTCTTCACCCTGGCCACCTCAGAAACAGCGGCAGTACCGTGGCACGGGCAAAGGGTGAATTCAGGCGTAACATGCGTAACCCGCCTCCGTCCTCTCCGCAGATCAGGCCGAATCGAAGCTGCAGATACCGCCTGATTGCAGTCGGACCTTTGAGACAAACGGCCTGACAATCATTTGCAATGACCTGGTAATCGCCGATGACCCGAGCAACTGAAGCTTCTCAACCGAGGTGATCATTGCCATGACGTCCTTCAGTGAGTCAGTCAAGGTCGCGATGCTTCTACTTCGACTGGACAGCGTGTTTTAAAGCTTCGAGTGTCTTCTTGAAGTCAACAGCAGCACGGTCCTGCCGCATGCCGCGCTTGGCTTGTGTCAGAAGTTTGGAGGGCACGGATTTAGGATAGTCTTTGCTCGTGAGATTTAACATATGCTAGTGCGGCGGTGCTGCTGTGTCAGTGCGGCGTTGCTGCTGCGGAATGTCACCATCTCTGAGCGTTGGTACGGGCAACCCTCCTGAGCCCGACGATCAGCAGTCTCGAGCCGCACGAATCCGAAAGCTCATCATAAAAGGCTCCTCCTCTGCTTCCCACGGCTCCTCAGGGCATCCGGCATGCAAGACTCGTTTCAGCCTCCAGGCCAGGTCCTCGCGAAGCCGCTGCCGCGTTTCGGGGAGCAGCGCTGGAGGACCGGCCTGGCCAGAACTCTAGAAAAAAAAGGGAAGGATGCCGGCGGCCACACAGCTCGGATGGCCTCCTCTCTCCTCCGGGGGCTCGACACTGCTAGCGCCTGAAGAAAGTCCAAGCCCATGACAAACCTTTCAAGCACGAAGACGGCACACGCTTTGGGGGCCGAACCCTTCACCCCTCCGAACTTCTCCAGCGCCAGGCGTCCTGGCTCACACACCGCTACGGGGAACCCACTTCACGACTTCACACACGCCAGCAGGCAGAAGCATCTTTTACTGCTAAAAGAGCGTGCAAGCGAAATCAGGGAATGCACCGCAGAGACCGTCTCGCACATTCTCACGATTATTTCAGTTCAAGGATGATGCAACTTGGTCTTTGCAGGCCTGTGGTGGCTCTCAATTATTGCTGCCAAGAAGGGACCTCTCCCTCGAACAGCCAGTGCTTGAATTCTGGCGTTGCACGTTCCAGGAACTGGCCTCAAACAACAGAAACGGCTCCGTCGCCGGATTCCCGACACCCAGTCCCAGTACCACACGTAGAGCTATGAAAACCTTTAAAGCAAGGCAGCCTTCTAACACAGGAGACCCGGCTCTTCCCATGAGGAGCGAAAGGTGAAAAACTGTCCCGCGACTTCCTGGCTTCGCTGTCCGCTACTGATGGGGTGTAGAAGTCAGTCCATGTACAGGAAGTCCAACATGTGTGCAATCTTTGCCCACAGTTGCGTCTTGCGTTTTGCAGCAAAATCGACCACGTGTGCATGGCAGCCAGACGATCATGAAAGTGAAACGATTTCGTCGCCTCATAAGATGGCGCACTTCATGGACTTTTTGCCGCCGGTTCGCTGCACGGATGGCTTCCCATTCCTGGAACCGAGGGCTGCAACCCAATACACATGCTTTCTAGTGCAATTCCTTCCGTGACAAGACGAGGTCTTCTCGAAGCCCAGCCACGACAGCTTGAAGGGCTGGTCGCCCGCAGCATCTTCCGCTGGGGCTGCGCCTCCCGCCTGAACGCCATGGTGGAAATCAAAACCAGGCTTTCGATGGCAGGGACCAAGCAGCACAGCCTTGGCAGCTGCACTTCTTTCCTGAAACAGGTTCTGCTGCCCGATCGACAACCAGCCAAGCTGGCGCTAAAGCTGGGCTCGCTGCTGCCATCGGCTTCGACGCAACCTCTGGCACGTCTCACATGTCCAGGTGTAGCGCGACCCTCGATTCGCGCTCGCAGCCGTGCCTCCTCTATCGACATCATGCCCGCTCTGCCCACTGATGCCTCGTGGGCGCTTTCGAACTGCCCAAGTCAACACGGTCTCTCCTTGGGGTGGTGCCTCGCCCCCGTTCTTTACGAACTCGTTGCCCAGGTGGGTGAAAACCTTTCCATCAGGCGCATCTCTGTGGGTCTAGGGGTTCGTATTGCGATCTCTTTAGACTCTGAAAGAGCCCCCATGCGGCTAAGGCTGCGGCTTCGCTGACGTTAAGGTCATCTTTGACGCACGTCCTACAAGACAGATCTCCCACCACAGACTCCCAAGCGACGGCCATGTGCTCACCGAGATCTGGGGCGAGTGTGCGGTGCAAGCAGATAAGTTGGCATGCTTGAAGGGAATGGAATGTGCAGGCAGCTGCAGGCAAACGCGTCCTGTAGAGCTTGAGACGCAGCTTCTTTGCTATCCTTGGCTCTACATCGCACAGCTCAACTCGAGATCCTCGAAGATACTAAGATATCCACAACACATCGCCTGCGCTGGGTGCTGGACGTCTCAACCTCCTTTGCTTCTACCACTGCTTCATCTAGGAGGTCCACCTGGAAAGCTCGAGAAAGCTCGACACGACTGCACAGCGAGGTCTCATCACGTCTCATCGACCCTACAGGGCAGGGAACCCTTTCAGGGCTCTGGGGCCTTGTTTTGCACAAGCACCATCACGAGGTTGCCACACTCGTCGTGGACCTCGGAGGCACAGGCGCTCCTGCATCTGCCATCTTAGCAATAACACTTGGCGCCGCAGGCACCCAACATCAAAACAGCTGCACAGAAGTGTTGAGGCAAGGGGCTTTCTTGTACCAGGACTCGATGGCATCAAAAGAGTCCCGGTCCGTGGTAGAGAAGGCCAATATACACGCACCCGCACCCTGGAAGAAGTGAACACATTTGCATCTAAGGAAAAATTCCGACAAATCTCAGGCCTTGTAGTATGCCCTAGTGATGGCATCATACTCCTCCTGCCCGGCTGTGTCCCACAGAAGGTAGGTAACCTTCGCGGGTTGGAGAGTTCTGCGAATTTCACGTGTCGTAATGAGTTTTTGGACAGCGCAGGCTAGTGCTTATGCGCCTCCTCACCCACATCCTTCAAAAACGTCCTCTTCTCCAAAAAGTCAACACCTGCGGCTAGTACTCAGCATGACCATGGGGCCAAAGGGCCTCTGCAGCATTTCTCAGAGCTCTGCCGATCGTCTTTTTGTATTCGTTAGTGAAAATGCCTTTTGCAAATCGCGTGATCCTTGGCTGCACGCGACGCTTTCTGAGCGTCCCTGCTACTACCAATCCTCAGGCTGGAAACATGGAGGTCTTGCCCACCTGCCCATTTCCCACAACAATCACCTGCAAGCACGGCGTCGCAAGCGTGCTGCAGGCCTGGAAACCGATCTCCTGCCTTTAGGGTGATGTCTACGTCTTGCTCGAGCATGGCAGCAAAAGGGTCCTCACAAGACAACAGCAACCCAGGTAGAGAAAACAAGATGGATTTTGGAAGAAGGGATTGCCAGGCTACAGCCAACCATTCATGCTGACAAATTGGGTCTTTTGTGTTCTTTGTTTAACTTCTTGAAAGCACCAGCAACAGCAACAGCAGACAAGCGAGCCAAGGAGCAGGAGCGGCGTGGATGACGGCGTTTGCGTCTTGCTACAAACCCTGGCCACCCTTTACTGGCTGCAGGGGCTTCGCACTGCTCCTTCTTGGACGGGGGCTGTATCAGGTGCCGGGCGTAACTGAACGAGTCTTTCGGAAGATAGTGTAAACGTTTTCAGTATATTTATAAGCTTGTGCTGGTCACGCAAGTAGGCCCATGCATATGCCGAGCCAGACTGGACAAGCACGGGAGCGCGAAGTGTCACACAACACAAGAGTCACAAGAGTGGCACTTGTACAGCTCGAGGCCTTTAGCTGCATACTCCGCCTCTTCCTGCTCCCGGCGAAGCCTCTGAAGCTCCGCGCGGTGGTCAGACTCGCAAAGATTTTCACGGCCGCTTGACTGAAGTGGCCTTCTGCTGATGGCTTTGCGAGCTGCCTTGCCCAGAGGTTGCATTTCTTTGGCACGATCCTCCTGCGCACATGCTTTCACACCTCCTTCGCCTCCAGAAACGGCTGTGTCTCAGAAGCCCTGCCCTGCCTTGGCGGGTGGACTCGCACCAACACCGAGTCTCTCAGACCTGTCCCACAGAATATTCTGTGACAGCCGCTGGGTTCTCGGTAGCAACCCGTGGCCTGTGCGGTCGAGACGCAACTGCGGCAAGCCAGGACATTGCGTCGCCTTGCGCTCGTTGGTGCTGGAAGAAACTTGGGTGGACTTGTTCGCCCTTCGCTACCCAGCCCAGCCTCCACCATCGTCAGAGGTAGACTTGTAGTCGGCAAACCTCAGAAACACACTGCCAGCGATGCAGACCAAGATGTCACAAGTACCTGAGCCCCCTACCATCCGCTCACGACAGCCTCGTCCGGATCTATGAATTCTGGAATCACCGCCGCTGTGCCATCGGCAGAGGCATCTTTGCTCCTCTCTTGAGGTCGCATCAGGTCCCCTTACCTGCACTTTCGATCTGCTCGTCTGCTCCGTCACATGCTTCAGAAAACATCAGAAAACTATGAAAGAATGCAACAAAAACCGAAGCTGTGTAGAAAAATCCCAGACCGTGTCATATTTTGTTCGCAGCACATCCCGTCTCTAATCACTCCTGTAGTCGACTTACGAAAAAGCCTCAACACTTGAGCCGACATCAACAATGGCTGCTTTCTGAGGCAGAAACGGTCAAGACCAATGCTGACGCTTTCAAGTTAATTGGTTGAACAACTGCTGTCTGTCTCCAGCTTGACACCCTTGGCGTAACTTTTTGGAGGTCCTGGTCGGCACAGGCTTTGCACCAATGGTTACGCACTGCCTAAACCAGGACGACGAGGTGTTCAATCTGTAACAGTTGGTGACAGCCTGGGCCTATGCACTTCGATGACTTCGAGGTGAAGGAATACAAGTTGTGGAATCTTGTGGACATCTATGAAGACACACTACGGCAGAGTCCGCCGATTGCCAGCCTCCCTTATGGAGGGATGAGCGGCATGTGATACACAAAGTTGCAGAAGCACCCACTCCACACATTGAAGTTTGAAGAGAACAAAACATGCTGACGGGCGGTCTTCGATAACGTGCAGGGTTCGCCGTTGCTGGCTAAGACAGATGCGGAGATACTTGCGAGCAGGGCTCCTGCAAAACTAACAAGAGAGCGCGACGCGCGGGAGAGAGAGGCCCTTGTGCCGGACGCACTGTCTGGCAGCACCACGGAGAGGCCTCAACCCCGACTGCCCATCAGCGAACCAAGCAGTTTCTGCTTTGCACCTCCGTAGAAGGATCACAATGACGAGTCGTGCATGTTTCTGTTCAATCCCACTGAGACCGCTGCTTTGAGTCGCTTTCTGGAACATCTGTTCGGCCTGCATCCCGCTTACTCCGGCTTTATTGACCCTAGACACGCCTTGACCGTTGCAGCAACTACGATACAGGGTGCTGTAAAGTTAACTCCTGTCCGCCAACAGTGACAGTGCCCGATTCTAGAAGGCACAGCCAGAACAACGCTGCAGAAGGTGATGCAGGTGCGCTTGAACATGATAGTTGTCAGTGCCTGGGCACTCTGGGTGACTTCTGTCTCGTCAATCATCTTGATTCGTGCTGAGATCTTCTCGTCATCCGTCTCCATGATGACACCATTGTCGGTGACCTGGTGCTCGAACGTAATGCATCAGGTGGGTCAGCATGATCAGCATTCACCACATGCATCCTCCATGCAAGCCAATGAAACATACAGCGGACCTCGTCCAGGATGAAGAGAACATCGGAAAGACTATCCAGCACAAGCTGCTTTGTCAGACCTGATGACCTGTTCCAACAGTATTGACAGCAAGCAACCACGAACATTCGAAGCCTTTCTTCCCGCCGAGGCATCAGCAAAAAGCTTTGACTTTGGCATGCATTCGAGAGGGCATTGTACATGCCTTCCGCCTGGAGATGAAGTGTGCAAAGGAAAGCTTCGCCGCAAGTTGGGACTGCGTGCCCAAATCATCATGTGCCTCCTGCTCTTGCACTGGCTAAGACTCCGACAAGCTCCAACATCACAAGCTCATTTTCGCTGGATGCAGCTACCGCGGCCACGACCACGTCATTGCAGGCCTGCTGCATCCACAAGCCCAACTGCGATTTCTGAGCCGCAACTCTTTGCACGGAACCTGAAAAATCACTGTGTAGTCATCAATCACCGCCACATCCACATCGCTCCGAGTCGCCGAGGGCTTCGGCAGTTTGTTGATGACCTTAATCGATCACCAGGAAAAACACGAAACGACACAAAACTGCTGCACAAAACAATAAGGCATGCTCTCTCTTTTCGAAGGCAACTTGCTGCTTGACAGTTGGCCAAAGTTCCTCACTGCTTGCATCGACAACGACGATTTGACAAAACCGCAACCATCGACATTCAGCCTCGGTGCAAGTGCCGTGCAACAGCGGTAGATTACGCATCGCGAAAACCAGCGACAATCCAAATGTACACATCTGATGATAGACACTGCGGTTGGCTCAAGTCCTTTCGCGCGTACGAATTGTACTTGACGGCCAAACGCCCACCGTCTGTGTCCAACACAAGGAGTGCCTGCAATGCAAATGTGAATGTTGAGACTCTATAGACATCTGCACAATGCCAAATCGTAAATGCAGCCGCACCAGGATCTGCACCAATCCGTCTTCGGCCATGGCTGCTCGACTTGCCAAAAACTTGTCTGCCAAACAGCATCGCGGTCACCACACGTTAACACATGCGCACACAAAAACCGCAAGCATGATGCATCATCGGGCCGGGTTGTAATTTTGCGAAAGCTCTGTTTTGCGCACATTCGTTCCAGCACACTGACCGACGGCTCTGTTTTTGGTCCTCCGCTCTGTTATGGACAGCGCCACACGTTCCAACTGTTCCAACAACGACCCACACACACACCTTAGGGAATGGCATTCTTTCTGACTCGCTAATCACGCCACATAACCTAACGTATTGAGCCCTTGCACCAAGTCTTCGTCTTGGTTCCGAGAGCACAAACCTGCTTTATTGCCCATAATGACAAAACGTCATGTTCGAGTCATTTCAAAATTGCTAAGTAATTCTGAGCAAGCGAACCAAATCAAACACTCGACGAATTTGCTTGAACATGGGCAGCACCGTTATTGCGAGGTGCACTTCGCATTCCGTTTTTGGGTGTCGGTCGGCTTCAAAGACAGTTTTCAGCCACACTTGGCTCCAAGCCAAAACGTCAAAAACTTGGCGATCTCTCAAAGGTGTACAACAATCTACACTTCGGACTTGTGCAATAAAATGAGTTTTACGGATAACAAAATTGAACTTGGCTCAAAAAATATTGACCAAGCCACAAAAAATGAACCAAATTTTCGAGATGCGATGAGGCCAGGCTTTGGATCAAAACGTAACCGGAACAAGTATGTTCACTAGCATAGATGTGCGTGGGTGGATGGGACTTTTCGAGATGCCAGTACTGGAACTGAATACAATACTGCAGCAGTCTGGTGGCAGTGCATAATTCGCAACTCCAATAAAACATATATAAACAAAAACATGTAAGGAAACAGCCGAAAACAAAAGAGACAAGTGGGACGTAATGGAAACAACAGGATCCAGTTTTTGAAAACATGAAGCCAATACGCACAAGAAAGAACGATTTTCTTTTGTTTGCGCATGCGGTCCTTGTAGACAGCGTCAGCTGCGCTCGCGGTTTCAAAAACGCTTGCACACTAAGTCCATGTCCAAGTCTATGTAATGGCCTACGCAGAATCAAAACAACTTTCACGTCTGTACGAGCAGAGTAGCGCACATGCAGCGTTCCTCACAAGCTCCGTTTTGAGTTTTGCTACGTTTTTCAAGCAAAATTTGCGCTTGCAGGGTTGGCAAGCATGGTAGCAATGGTAGAACATTCTCAGACAAAAAGCCGAATTGAAAAGGTTTGAGCCTGCCCCTTCTGGGCTGTGTGCAAATGCAAATTTTGCAGATCCGTGCCACAATGATGGCAACAAGTACAGTGCAGTGCATGTTTTTGTTTTCAAGTTTTCCAGAGTGTCCACTTCTTTCAAGTCCGCCGCGCAATGTCCAACCCTTTGCAGTGATCCTTCTAGTTATGTCTGTACTTGCAGTCTGTCACTTCTTCTTCCTGAACTTTGCTCTGAGCAAAACAACAACTGTTCGTTGCATCGTGCGCAGAGTAGTTACGCGTGTGATAACGCACTCCAGGAACATGCCGAAGCACGAATCTGATTCAATTCTCGACAACGGCTCACGTGGTAACATGTCGTGCAGCTGAAGTAACTCTGTTGCGGCGGGGCTGGGCCCCAGACCTTCGGGCGAAGGGGGGCTTAAGGGGGGCTTCAAGGGGGGCTTAAGGGGGGCTTCAAGGGGGGGCTTAAGGGTCACCCCCTTAAGGGGGTCTTAAGGGGGGGGGGGGAGGGAGGGGGGGGGGGGGGGGGG